ACCGATTTTCACTAGATGACGATTTTGACAGCTCCCTCCACGCTCGCAAAACGGGTGTTTTCGGGACTTAAGCTTCGCAAGACAGCGATTTAAACAGCTGATCGGTAGTTCGCAAAGCGGCTTTCCTATGGCCGATCGTCGCTAGACAACAACAATTCTTCCCCATTGGAAGGCATTAAACAGGTTTCAATGCATTCCAATGGGGAAATGCTTTTCGCTAGACACTGATTTCGCTAAACAGCGATTTCAGTGGAACGGATTATCATCGTCTAGTGAGGCACCACTGTAAAAACTTGGTGGAAGAAAAGTAGCTCTCCCTTCGGTGGAGAAGCAGCCACCTCGGTCTCTTCCATTCCCATAGTCATGCTTCCCTAGACACATGAGCAGAGTCGGAGAAACTATTTGGAGGGTTTCTTTTCTTCTTCTTCTTCTTTCCATGGGGGTGAGAATACAAGTCCCAACATCCCACAGGCCATTGATTCTGGGAATCATTCTGCAAAAAGCACGCATCTCCTATCGCTGCTTTTGAGTCCCTTTAAAGTCTGCCTTGCTACCGAGCTACCAGCCTGGCCGAACCCCATGCCGTCCGAGGGCCTTCCAACCCTTGACCCTACCTGTAATCTTCCCAAGAAAGAGGGGCAGAAGTATAGAATTAAAGAGGGAAACGGGTCTATTCAAACAGCAGTCTGGCTGCTCCTGAGGGGGGGCTTCCTACGCTCCTCCAAAATGCTCTGGAAATGAAAAAGGTCCATGGCCGCCTCGCGTTTGGAAGGCTCCCCTCTGTTGCTCGGTTGTTCTTTGAGCCCGGGCGCTCTCCCCTGGGAAGCGGAGGCTCAAAACCAACCGCCTGCTTATCTCAGACCTCGCTGGGGCTTCGGCCTGTCCACAGAACATGGAGGGCGCTCTAAATTTTTCAACACAGTCACTGCCTCCCCCTTTATCTCCATCCAGCCCTTGAAGCTGAACAAGGAAAGCTGATTTTCTGCTCCCCACGGGATTTGCCCCTTCGCCTTCCTCCTCCTTTCCGTTTGTCTCCGAACCCTTCTGGCTGCGCCAGTTTCCTTCGGGTTGAGCTCCGAGGATACGGCTTTGAACCGCATGGAGAGGCCCAGAACTCGGGACGCGAAACCTCTATTCTGCAAAATCCTGCAAAAGGGCTGCTGATCCTGGCAACCAGCCTCTGGGGCTTTACCTTGGGAGCAGCTCTCTGAAGTTTCAAGCTGAGAGGGGGGGGGGATCTCTACTCAGCCATACCTGAATGCTGATGCTGATGGATTCTGCCCAGATGTTTTAGTTTCTTGGACTCAATGATCTCTGGGGTCCCTTTCAGCTCTGCTGTTCCATGATTCTGTGGCAGCATCAGCATCAGCATCCGCTACACTGTTGTTGTTTATTGGGCATGGCCGTGTCTCAGAGATGGGATCCCGGACTCAGACTCAAAGGCTTGCCAACCTCCCGGCCACGATGACGGATGCAGGACTCAAGCCCGTTTGGGGCGAACGGAGCAAAAGGCGGACTTGACGTATCCCCGGCTCCTTCCAGTCACCCTGTTCCCCATAATTTCAGAAGAAAGGGGTAGGTTTTTGACTCCTGCATCCACACCCTCATAGGGCCGCAGGGCAGGAAGGAACCTTAAGGGCCATCCAGTCCGACCCCACGCCCAGGCAAGAAACCTCTCTAGCGGAAAGGTCTCCGAGATGTTCTTGAAAAAACCCCAAAGGTGAAGAACTCACCCACTTCCAAGATAGGCCATCCTGATGACCAACAAAGGTTGACATCTCTCTCCCCCCCCCCAATAATTTGGAGCCAGCCGAACCCCTCTGGAGCAAGACAAAGCAGTCTTGATCTTTCCCACCCTTGCCTGTCAAGTAACAGGAGAAGGCCACCTTTCCACCTCTCTCCCTTCCCTTTTCCAAACGAAATACGACCCATATCCTCAACTGTTCCTCGCAAGGCTCCGTTTCCTCTACCGTCCTGGCCACCCTGTTCTCAACCTCCTTCCACAACCGTAGTGCCTCGAACGCGACACCGGATTTCACGGGAGGTTCGGCTGGAAGAGCAGCGCGGTGTCCTTTACCACTGAAGGTCCGGCCCGACCGTTAGACGAGGGGAAGCAATGGCCTCAGGCAGCACAAGGTCCTAGGCCACATCGGTTTGGAGATTTAGCTCTCCACATATTTATTTGGTTTTCCACTTCGGCCAGAAAGCTCCTCCTTCCAGTTCCTGCCAAAGAGGTTACACTGACTAGATTTGTTCGCCCAGTTCCCATGACAGACAACTCTGACATGTCTCTCACTACATGCATCCGGACTCTCGCGCACAAAACTTAGGCCAAAATAGAACATCTCAGTCTTTAAAGCGAGGCACAGGATTCTCTATCAGTTCTGGTGCCAACAGATTAATACCCTGGCCCTTCTGGATTTCCTTCTTCCTTTTTTTTTTAATTTAAAGAATCTCATAGTACTCCGAGCTGCCTAGAAATCTTGTCAGCTAAAATATATCACGCATCTCGGTTTTGCGAGAAAATGCATTCGGAAGGGCGTTATGAAACGTACCTACGAAAGATTCTTCCCGCGTTTTCCAGGCAGTCCCTTTAATGGGACCCAATGGATTTGGGAAAGAACAGACACAAAATTGGGAGGGGGAGGAAGAACAGAGAGCGAAAAGAACAATCCATTGATCCCTTCCGGAATCTCCCACAAACTGAACCAACGAGGTCTCGTCCCACAATTCGCGGCTCATCTCTTGTTCCTCTTTGGAGAACAAACTCCCAATTTAACCTTTCGGCTGCCCTTGTTTGACCTACTTTTTTCACTCCGGGATGATCTCCTTCCATGGAAACGATCCTTCCTCTTCCCTCTGCCCATTTCTCTCCGTGAGATCCCTCGTTGGGCCTTCCAGGTGTAGATCCTTCTCCACCAAAGCCCCTTTCCAATCCCCAAAGATGTGGATTTTCAGGTCAGGGATATTTTCCATACAGACGTCCGCTGCCCTCCCCTGGATTTAGCAAAGCCCCTGAACTATCCCTCCGGCTGCCAGCATGCTGCACTCCAGATGCACAAGGTTCTCCTCCTGTCATTTCCACCGCCTACTTCCTCTCCTCTGTCGTGTTCATAAAGGAAGAAGATGTTCCAAGCAAAGTGGAGGAACTGGACTTTGTACACCGGGGGACGGGGAAATTCTGACCCTTTTCGACAGCTCTTTCCATCATCCCTTAGTACTGGGGATCACGGCTGGGACTTCTGGGAGATGAAACACATCAAAATTTCCCCAGCTCAGCCGTGTACCCTGGCAATACCTCTCTGCACAAGAGGCAAGAAGAAATACAGTGGCGCCTCGCTGGACAGTTACCCCGCATGACAGTTTTTCGCTAGACACTGACTTTTTGTGATCACTATTGCAATTCGCAAAACAGTGATTCCTATGGGGGAATTTCACTGGACAATGTTTGATCCCTGCTTTGCAAACCGATTTTTGCTCAACAACGATTTTGACAGCTCCCTTCGTGCTCTCAAAATGGGTGTTTTCGGGACCTAAGCTTCGTAAGACAGATATTTAAACAGCTGATCGGCGGTTCGCAAAGTGGCTTTCCTATGGCCGATCTTCGCTAGACAATGACGATTCTTCTCCACTGGAGCGCATTAAACAGGTTTCAGTGCATTCCAATGGGGAAATGCTTTTCGCTAGACAATGATTTCGCTAAATAGCAATTTCAGTGGAACGGATTATCATCGTCTAGCGAGACACCGCTGTCCTAGCGTGTTGTTCCAGGGCAGGATGCGGCCTTGACGCTCGCTCGCTCAATCACTCGCTCACTCAGCAGGTGTGATGCAAGGTTTAAACCAGGAATGGCTTGGCACTGCCAGCTGAGCTAACTCCTGTGTTTGTGGAAGTCCAGACGGGGGACTTGAATAGAAGCTGAGCCTTTCTCAAGCCCTGCCTTCCTCATTCCCCCTCTTCTCTGAAAGACACGAAGCCTTTTACAGATAGACACATATAGATAAGTGAGACAAATAGACCGATAAGGACAGATAGATCACTATTATCTGCAATGGAGCCTGCAAATAGGTACATGGATGAGAGATCATATGAAATAAATCATATAGAAAGCGAGCAAGCAGTCTGGTGGCTGGAAATACCCAAGGCCCGGACATTGGGGGAAGCGACTGGGCTTTGAAATTTTTTTAAAAAAATTGAAAGCACCTTCTTGCCCTTTCTATTAGCCAAAAAAAAAAGTGTGTGTGTGTTGGGATCTCTTAAAACATGGTGAAATTGGCCCCTACAACACACCCCCGACAACACAAAAGGACCATTTGGGGCAGAGGCTGCTCAGCTTGGAGACAGAGAGACGGCGGGGTCACCAAGGGGAGAGAGGTGCGTGAAAGGCCCTGTTCGTCCAGCAAGCCCCGTACTCAGTTGTAAACCTATATCAATCTAACTAATATTTCCATATGGCAGAATAACAGTCAAAAGGAGCATAAGCCTAAAGTAAGAGAAAATAAAATAAAGAGAAATAGATAGGCAGAATAACAGTCAAAAGGAGCATAAGGTAAGAGAAAATAAAATAAAGAGAAATAGACAGAGCGAGGTGATCTGCAATGCACAGAGTCTTCAGAGAGACCGACAGACAAACCGTTTCGGTATTTTGCTGGTAACCTGGAATTTGGAGAATTTGACAATGCCACCCCTTCTTCATAGAAACCAAATGCCACCTCTGTTCATGGAGAACATTTTGTGGTCTTGCTGACGGCGAGATTGTTTTTGTTCCTTCCTTTGGTTCAGCCTGAATTGGCCAGGGTGGGCACTCAACGCTTTGGGAAGCCGCCAGGAGGCCTTGGTGATGGCCATCTTCGCAGAAGACACAACCCGTTTCCCCTTTACACCCTGCCCGCTGGAGAGAGTGGCCAGGCCGTCCGCTGGACTAGAAACGCCACCCCCCCCGTGTTTCCCCTTGTGCAAAACCTCCCACCATCACCGCATCTAAGTCTCCCATTACTCACGGTCATTGCACACCGGGCCGCCGTACGAGGTCATGGTGCAATCGCACGTGTAGCCGTCCCATTGCTGAAGGCAGACGCCCTGATTGGCGCAGGAATCCTCCGTGCAGGTGGTGCTGGGACCTGGGGGGGGGCGAGGGCCAAAGGGGGAGGGAAAGGAAGGGAGAGAATGACAGTTCAGCCAACAGGGCCGTCAGCAAAGGACTCCAAAGGGGTGGGGGGTAGAAACCTATCCGGTCGGGTTTAGCAGGTCTTGATGTGAGTTTGTGTTTTATGCAGTAGGTTCATATACAGTAGCCTTGCAACCTACCGTATTCTTCTGTGTATAAGACGCTCCCATGTATAAGACACCCCCACTTTTCTAATCCAAAATTAAGGAATCTAAGTGGGGATCAGCAAGTGTAGGGGGAAAGGGATCAAAGTGCTGCAGGATCGCTTTGATCCCTGCTTTCCCCTCCACTTGTTTTCGTTCTCCCCTCAGCTTACTTCCGTGTATAAGACGACCCTCAATTTTTAGTCTAAAGATTTTAGACAAAAGTATAGTCTTATACAGGGAAAAATAGGCTGGACCTGAACACAGGTAAAGACCCGAAGGCATGAGAATCAAAAGGGAAAGCTTTAAGCCAGGCTCAAGGGTCCTAAGAGCAGGATACAGGGGTGGATAGCTTTAAACCTTCCCGACAGCCAAGCTGAAAGGTGCCAAATAGGAAATGATAGGAAGGGAGGTCCATAACTGAGTGGCCACCACTGGAAAAGGACCTGCTCGTTGTATGACCATTCTAGATGTTTCAAGTGGGGTGGAAACAAGCAGATGCACACACACCCCGGAAATAAGGCCTAACCGTAAGGGCAGGATACGGTGGGTGTTCAGGTAATCTGTTCCCACTTTGCTGAAGGCTTTGAAAGTAAGTAAGCCACTGAAAGTAAGCCACTGAAAGCCAGCCTCAATGATTTCTCCTCTTCCTCTGCACTTGAGGGGGAAAAAAAAACAAGCTATGATCCTTCCCTGATTTGACTACAATAAATCTGTGGGTTGGTGAATTATTTTTACCCCGCCTTTCTCCTTGAAAAGAACCCAAGATTGTATTTAAAACTACGATCAATGAATCTTACAACATTGACAGGCAATATTAAGGCAAAGATCAATAAGTATATATACTTATATATACTGTATTTATATATATACTGTATTTGTATTGTATTTTAATTGTCGTAAGCTGCCCAGAGACCTTTGGGTGGAGTGGGCGGCATATAAGTGAAATAAATAAATAAATAAATAAATAAATAAATAAATAAATAAATAAATAAATAAATAAATAAATAAATAAATAAATAAATAAATAAATAAGCAAGCAAGCAAGCAAGCAAGCAAGCCTGAGAAATGGAAAACACACAAAAAAAGGGAAACACAAGTCGTACTAAAAATCCAGTTGAACCAGTATTGCATAGCAATCTACCTAAAAATCACACCCAGGTCGCTAGTTACTGAGGAAAGCCTTGCCGGAAGAGAAAGGTCTTTGCCTGCTTTCAGAAAGATAGCAAAAAATGGGACCAGCTTGGCCTCCAGTGGGAGGGAGTTCCAAAGACTGGGAGCAGCCACAGAGACGGCTCTGTCCTGTGACCCCATCAGATGCACCTGGGAAGGTGGCGGGACCGAGAGAAAGGCCTATTGCGATGATCATAACACCCGAGCCAGCTCATAATCCAGGCCGTTGAGGGCTTTATAGGTTAAAACCAGCACTTTGAATGGTGCCCAGAAAAATATCCGCAGCGAGGATAGCTGCTGTAACAAGGGGGTATCATAATCCCGGTAACCAGCCCCAGTCAGGGATCTGGGCTGCTGCGTTTTGGACCCACTGAATTTTCTTGAAGTTTCCCACGAAGAGTCGGACACGACTGAACAACTAAACGACGACCACGAAGTTTCCTGACCCTTTCCATCGGCAGCCCCACGTACAGCAAGTTACAGTAATCCAGCCGGGAAGTAACTAGGGCATGTATCACAGGGGCCAGATCAGAGCTCTCAAGAAACAGACGTAGCTAGCGCACTCGTTTTAATTGTCCAAATGTACTCCTGGCCACTGCCGAAAACTGGGCCCCCAGGTTTAGGGATGAATCCAGGAACACCCCTAAGAGGCGGACCTGTTTTTTTCAGAGGGAGTGTAACGCGTTATATCCCTCTTCCTTGATCTGCCTTTCGACTGCCCAGCCGCCCCTCTGGTCTTGCCTGGATTAAAGTTTCCGTTTATTCACCCTCGTCCAGCCCATGACGGACGCCAAACCACGATCCAGCGCCAAACAAACTTCTGCAGATTTAGGTGGCAAGAAGAGGCACAGGTGGGTGTCATCCGTGGTCCTGGTGACACTGAACCCCGAAACTCCGGACTATCTCCCCCAGTGGGTTTCGTGTAGGTGTTAAATAAGATAGGAGACAAAACAGAAACCCCGAGAGACGCCACAGGCCACCAGCCAGGGGGGTCGGGCAGGAATCCCCCAGCACCGCTTTCAGAGTCCTTTCCTCCAGGAAGGATGGGAGCCCCCCACAAGTCCCATTGCAGAGAGATGGCTCAGGGGGATACTATCATCGATAGTATCGAAAGCATTGAGAGGTCCAGCAGAACCGGTTAGGGACATACGCTCCTTATCTAGTTCCTGGGGCAGGTCATCCAGAAAAGGCGACCAGAGCAATCTCTGTCGGTTTTTGACTACTGCCAAGCTCCCTGTTGTGGGCTTGCCCTTGGAGACAGTTCCGGCTCAACACCCAGTCCTGAATCAGTGTTTCCAGTCAGGAAAGGCTTTAGAGGCACCTAATCATCCTCACTTTAGCACTCTTCCATGGGTGTCGATTCAAGGGGGAAAAAATTATTCCCCGCCAGAAAAACATCACCGGTCAAGCCACTCCCTGCCCCTTTGGCCACCAATCTTCCAGAGAGATGGACTAAAAGCAGTCGGTCAGCCCACACTGGGCAGTCTGTGTTGGAAGTTGGGACAACCTAGGTGTGGCTTGTCAAGGGCATCAATGCAATACCATAAATGCGTCATCATCTTTGTAATAAAGCACCGGTCTAAATGCACACAGATTTGTTCCTGTTGTGCTATCGAAATTACTTCTGAGTTACGGCAACTCAACCAAGGGAGCGATCACCAGAACGCTGCGCGAGCAACAAACTCTGCTCAGCTCTCGAGAAACTCCAGGCGGCGGCTTTTTCATCCTCACGTCGATGCATTTCATGCTTCCTCGTTTCCTGCTGCCTTCAACTTTTCCTAGCGCTACTGTTATTTTCCCACAAAGCCGTGTCTTTTCGTGACGTGCCCGCAGAATGACAACCTCAGTTTTTGTCATGTTGGCTTCTAGGGAAGAGTTCAGACCTGATTTGATCATCGTTCTGGCAGTCCTGGATATTGGCAAAGCTCTCCTCGAGCACAAATCAATTCCCCCCCCCTTCTGACATCCTTGTTCACTGTTCTGCTTTCTCATCCATACATAGTAACTGGGAGTGCAATAACATGGCCTTGGTCTCTAGTGACACCTCCTTGCACTTTTCTAACTCCTTCTTTACCGCCTTTCTGAGTCCGTTTTTTTTTAACTTGAATCTCCATTTGGACTGATGATTGAACGGAGGTAAAGAAAATCCTTAACAACCGCGATGGCTTCGCTGCCAACATTAAAGTTACTCAATTCTTCCGTGGTCTTGCTTTTCTCTTTTTAATATTCAGCTGAAGTCCTGCTTTTACACGTTCTTCTTTCACCTTGACCAGGAAGTTCTTTCAAGTCACGGCGGCTTTTCAGAGACAGTAAAAACGGCATCCTTCCCCCAGTCTTCAATTATTGATGTTTCTCTTGCCAATTTCTTTCCCTATTCATTTGAATCCCATCCAGTTTTCGGTATGAGCCATTCAGTGTACAGAGCGAACAGACAGGGAGATAAAACATACACTCATCTGACACGTTTGCCAATGGGAAACAATACTGTTTCTTCATAATGCTGCTTCTGGCCCAAAGATTTAGGGCAACCCCGGGGGGGGGGGGGTTTCCTGGGCATGTATATTTACAAGTTGGCCTCTACCCGTGTCGCTCCCCCTCCCCAGTAGGTTTTCATGGCCAAATGAGATTCTGAACCCCGGCCACCTGAGTTTTAGACTAACACTCTACCCAAAATGCTGGTTAGGACTCATAATTTATAACCGACAAAGCCCAATACGGCTTCAGACCGGGCTATTTTGCAAGACTGGAGGGGGGGGCGCTGTGGTGCGGCAGCTAAACTGCAGCACTGCAGCCAAAACGCCGCTCATGACACACGTTCTATCCCAGGTTGCCAGTTCGAGGTTCGCTCACCCTTCCATCCTTCTGAGGTCAGTAACCTGAATACTCAGCTCACTGGAGGGAGGGGGAGCCATTTGCAACCTGCATAATTTAATTATACACTGCCCAGAGAGTTATTTAAGTGCTATTGGGGAGGTCCATAAGCAGCATGCTTTGCTTTTTTTTTACAAGCTTGCTCAGTTTCTGAGATCATCTTCTTAAATAAAAAAAGTCCTTAAAGAGGACATTCTCAGTGGCTGCTCCCAAACCCTGGAACTTCTGAAATGCATTCAGTCAGTTGCGTGCTGGTTACCTTTGCAGGGAGCAATGTGTTTTGTTTTTTTTTTTAAATTGTTTCATTTTCTTATTAATATTTTAATGTGGTGTGTTTTAATCTTCGTTTTATGACCACTAGCCGCTTCTTCTTTTGGCAGAAAAGCAGGGCTTTCCTGCCAAAAGAAGGAATCTTTTAAGTTAAAAAGGAATCAAATAAATTAAGGAATCAAATAAGTTGAAAAAAAAAAGAAAGAAAAGAATTTGGAGAGGGATTTTGGAGCGAAAAAGCAGGAAAGAGGAATTTCTTTACCCGAGTCCTACAATATCTTCATTCCCTGTTGCAGCCTCTTTATATCGACAAGACAGACCCACCCTACCCACCCTTCCTCCATCCCCCTCCACTCTTTCTCCTTCCCCACCCTCTCTTTTTCTGCCCGCCCACCCTTTTTGGCCTCTTACCATCACATCCCCTCTCGACGTGCCCGATCCGGTGCAGGGCGTCAGCGATGAGATCCGGGAGTCGGCCGTTGAGGTCCACGGAGGCCAAGCAGCCCTGGAAGCCATCCCGCGAGGCCACCAGCTTGGGCAAATTGCTGAACATGTTTTTGCTCAGGCCCCCGATGTACAGCTCTCCTGCAAGGTAGGGCAGCAGAAGACATACATACTAGCGTGTCCTGCACTTTGAGATGATGAAGAACAGATCCCGCCCCCACCGTCAAATCTTTTGAGAGGTATGAAGACCTTTCAAAGATTTGATGGTGACTTTTATGAGTGTCACAGCATGTAGGGAAAAGAAATGACCCCCCTCCCACCTATGGGTCCTTCCAGATGACTCCTGTGGGTCATGATCCTGAACCTTATCAGCTCACCCACACAGCTGCTGTTTTAACAAAACCAGCCACATAGATTAACAAACTGAAATCCTTTCCTGTTATAAATCTAGCCTAGATGTCTAAGGCTGAGGCTGGGTAGTTTTTGTCTTCTAGACTAGATTATCTCTACTATCAGAGGCAATTTGACCATACGGTGGTGCCTCACTTAACGAGCGCACCCTTTAACGATGAATCCGCATAGTGACACATTTTTTGCGATCGCTAATGCGATCGCATTGCGATGTTTTAATAGGGAAAACATTGCATTGCGATGATTGGTAAGCGTTTCGCTTACCGATTATCGCATTGCGATGTTTTTAAAACAGCTGATTGGTGGTTCCAAAATGGCCACTGTGTCACTGGGCAGCGAAAATGGTGGCCGGATGGAGGATTCCCTGCATAGCAGTGAGTTTTTCCCCTATAGGAACGCATTAAACAGAGTTTAATGCGTTCCTATGGGGGTTTCCCCCCCGCCTAGCAACGAATCCGGATAGCGACATTAATCCTGGAACGGATTAACGTTGCTATGCGGGGCACCACTGTATTGGACATGGGGATTTTGGGAGTTGTCCTTGAAACAAAAAAGGGAGGGGCAAAACCTGGAGACAGCAAAAAGGGGGAGAATAAAGCACGAAGAGGAAATGAGGTTCAACACAGAGCCCATGGAAACAAGAAATGGCCGGCGAGGCTGAGAAACGTGGAAAGAGACTTAAGGAGGCTAACAGGTACCCTCCCACTGTTGTCACCTGTTTGCATTGAAAAAAGTAACTCATTACATTGCCTGTTGCATGGTTTGATTTGGGGGGGGGTATTTTTGGTTCCCTTTTTTACCCTTGGGATGAATAACAAAACAACATGAAACGTCTTGCCGAAATGCTTCTAAAAATGATTTAAAATGCTATTAAAAGGTAACTTTTAGAAGTAGCCAGAAACATTGATCATTAAACCAACAATGTAACTTAATTTCTACTCCTACCGCTACTTTTGACACCCTTTTAATACTAAAAAACAAACAAACAAACCAGCAAACCAGAGTAGCAATTAACTGTGCTACTCATATATTACTTTCTGCCAACTTTCTGCTCAAGAAAAAAAAGTCTTTATCGTGGAAATCAGGGAAGGCCTTCCCTTTGTGACTTACGATGTGTTCCCCACATGTAATCTCAACATACGCATCAGGTTGAAAGAGGGCTTTGAAAATATTTGACAAGCAGCCTTAGCTGGTGCATCTTCAGAAGGAAATTGTTAATTGCTTTAATTTCACATGGGTCTGTCTGTCTGTGATTGTGTTTATCCCTATCTTTTTCAATTAACCTTGCTTTAGCTACCTTTAGTCTTGGTTATAGCAGAGAGAGACATACATTCAATCAGTCCCAACGTTCTTTGCAAAAGGGAAATCTAATGGTGACTGCCCCCTAGTGTCACAAGAGGTTAATACAACTAGGTGAACACAAAATTGGTTAGATCAAAAAGGGAAAGGTTCTCTCTCTTCCCCCCCCCGCCTCTGTGTGTGTGTGTGTCTGTGTGTGTGTGTCTCTGTGTGTGTGTGTGTGTGTATATATGTGTGAGCTCACCCTTGAGATCCAGGTTACGGGCACCATTGGAGTGCTGTGTGACAGTGCGGGAGTCAATCTTAAGCGTGTGTACGTTGTTGGTGTCACGGGACACGATGACGTTGTGCCACTGATTATCGTTGACCGGCTTGTCGGAGTTCCCCTTCATCAGCGATGGCCCGTTGCCCAGGTCAAAAACGTAGTGGATGTACCTGCACAGGAACCGGAAAAGATCAGAAAGGTTATCACACCAAGGTGGAAAGTTCTTTCTCAATCTAATATAGCAAGATAGGGCACTGTGCAGGTGTGTAAGAGAGGGAAGGAGGGAGGGAGGGAGGAGGGGTCGAACACTGTATTTCTGACACCCAGAGTTCAAAGCTGTGGCAGACTGTCATCTCATAATATTGAGTGAGTTCTTCTTTTGCCTCAGTCTTGCTCATCTGTAAAATGGGAGCAGCGCCTGTCTGCGTTATGGCTAGAGCACAGACGCTCACCAGGTCAGTCGCCTGGGGTCAGTCATATTCTTTGCCTCTCGGCCTGACTTACTAGGTCGTTGTTCTAAGGATAAAACAGGGAGGGAGGGAGGGAGCGCCGCCTTTTGCTCACTCGGGAAAGGTGGAATATGGGTGTCCCCAAACATTCAATAAAGATTCACTAAAATGCCACACCAGAGCACAGAGTGCTACTTCTGTCCTCTGAAGAGGCCGGCCACAGAGACTGGTGAAACGTCAGGAAGAACAACCTTCAGAACACGGCCAAAGAGCCCGAAAAACCCACAACAACCATCAGATCCCGGCCGTGAAAGCCTTTGTGGATACATTTATTTGTTTATTAGCTTATTTATTGACTTATTTGTTTACTTGATTACTTATTTATTTACTTATATCAAATGTTTACATTGATTTTATTTTGCTTGCCTAGCCTCTTCCTGTGCTTATTTAATTACATTTTTTTAAAAAAAAAATAAATCCCACCTGGCAAGTGACAGAGCAGAACAGGATCGTGCCTCTTATCACAACAGAAATGCCAAGAGAAATGCAAAGAAGGCATCGTCGGGTCCACGGCATGATCGCCGAAAAGGGGATAAAATTACAAGAAGAGGAGGCGGCCTTAGGGTTCTCCGGAAAAGATCATCCTGCGGGGAAAGGTGGAAGGCAGCAGCAGAACAACAAGGGTGTATCTTTAATCTTTAGTTTACCATCTGTGGCCAAATGTGATTGTTTCTCCTGACTGGCAGTTTTGGCTTTGACAGTTGAGTTCAGGGTTCAATTTCCACTGGGCAAGTTTTTTTTTTTCATTTGGCAAGTGAAATGGCTAATGAAACTGAGGTGCCTTGTGCTGTATTACAGGATTGCTGTGAATTCCGATGGAAGCTGCTTGGTTTTCTGACTGTGAATTTATTTATTTATTTATTTAAAATAGGCTTGACCCTGGCTTTCTCCTTAAAAAAGGACCCAAGGTACCTTTTTTTTAAAAAAAAAATGCTTAATTCCAGGATTCCCTCTCATAAACCTCAGTTTTTCACATCCCATTCTCCCCCATCCCTTCCAGGTGCCGTCTCCCCGCTCGTGAAACGCAGGTCTGAGAGGAAAATGGTCTCTCCAGCGCAGTCCTTAACAGAAACCAAGGCACGCTCGACAGCGACCAAAACGCTGGGCAGTCCGGTACGTGAGAGAACCCACTGTGGATTTTTTTTTTCTGTTATAAATCAGTGTGGAGGGAATAAAAGTTTGGAAGAGGAAGGAGGATCGTTTAAGTTTTGAGGCAGAGAGAGTGTGCAGGGAGTGAAGCGTCAGAGCGTGATCGGTATTAGTTAAGATAGAAGAGATTACATATATAAAAGCTGCAACCAAATGAGAGATACTTCTTTGTTTATTAATTAAAATTCTATCCCACCCATCTAGACCAAAGGTCTATTAGTTAAGATAGAAGGGGTTAAAGGGAAAATTCTGAAGCTTTCTGTAACTTTAAGAATGTGCGTGAGAACCATTCCTGAAAAAACTTAAAAACCAATAAACCTGTTTTTATTTCAAACTTAGTTCTTGAATGGACCTCAGTCTTTCCTAGGAGATATAATTGGTAAAGAGATCAAGGGGTGGCACTTTTTTACCATAAAAGGAGCCCCCAGGCCAGCAGCCTCCCTGGTCAATGAGTCATCATCTCCTGTCACAATAGTAAAACCAGCCTTCCCCTCCTCACACACCCTTTGCCCCATCACTTTACTGTTTCCAGTTAGAGAGAGCACTGGTTAGCTGATCAGTCTCTTCATCATGGAAGCAATGCTCGTAGACAGCCAAGACTCTGTCGGAGTCCTGGCTGAAAAAGAAGAGGAGGTCCTTTCCCAAGGACCAGCCACGAATGTGCTTGAGCACCTTAACGCTTCGGCCCCAGGAATGAATAAAGTTCCGTGGCCGAAGCTCTTGTCCCTTGTGGTGGGAGAGGGATCCGCTCCTGCTCTGACGCCACTCTGCAGGCGCCTGAAGGAGTTGGCCGCCCTTCGGCCGGAAGGATCCAGGCTGCACCTTGGGTCTTGCCAAGGAGGAGTAACACTTCCAAGTCCTCAGCAGCTCCTTGTGCGGCTTCTGGTCTCGGCTGCCCCTCGTAGCCGGAGAGGGTTCTGGGCCCTCCAACTTCTGCACGCCCTGCGGGCTGACGTCCACGAAGCCGTCGTCCAGCTTTGGGCAGAGCAGATCCTGAAGATCTGGGGATTTTGCCAGGCAGAAGGCCCGAGAGCGAGCCAGCCAGAATGGGAGCAGAAGCTTCTGCAGTTGCTGAGGAAAACCCTGAAATGCATAGAGGATGATGTGTGGACCCAAAATGTCGTCATCAACCTGGAAGAGCAGAGGCCCAGTTACACCGATGGGTCCCAGGAAAAGAGCTTCCTCTATAAAGCGCTGGGAGTGTCGCTGGCCTGTTGCGAGGACCGGGCGTTCGTTCAGGGCAGGCTGAAGGAGCTGGTGGAAAAATCTGATTTCCGGGAAGCAGCACAGATAGAGAAAGTAGCCAAGATCCTTTCTTTCTCTGCTGCGGGGCATTTGGGCCTCACTCTGGCCACATTAGAGGACTGCACAGCTGGGATGGCTGCCCTCCTTGCCCACCAGAAGGATGACCAGAACAGCAGGTGAGGCCAGCTCCACCAAGGCCTGGTTTTCATCTACGGCCAGATCGCCCTCCAGGCCCCGAAAGAGTCCTTGTCGC